ACCCCAAGAGAAAACCCCATGTTCTCAGACCCATGTGGGAGCTAAGACTACTGATATCCAAGAAGGAGAGGGCTGAATGTTGGTGACTAGAAGCTAGAGAGAGTTGGGGAGGAAAGGGAGTTGTATTGTAATGGGTACCTACACGTCTGAGGAACAGCAAGGTTCAGTGTTCTATTATACAGTACAGTAACTGTATATTACCACAACCTGTTATATGATTAGTAAAGAACTAAGAGGGGAGCTTGAGGATACACACATGCACACATACATGCACACACACACACACACACACGATTGCTGTGTAAGTGGATGGAAAGGCTAACCATCCTGATTCAATCATGACGTAATACTGAGTTCCCATACTGTGTCCTGTAACTGTGCTATGTCATCTAAAAGAGAAAAGAGGAGAGAGGGAGAGAGAGAGAGAGAGAGAGAGAGAGAGAGAGAGAGAGAGAGAGAGAATGGTAAAGAAAACGCTAAGGGGGAGTTTTAAATAAGAAAAGTAATGACAATTAAGGTGGGCTTCCCATCATAATTAACCTCAAGAGATACTTCAAAAATTCATAGACAAGGAATTAAGATCGATGTCAAGTATGAGCAACGTGGTGTGTGTATGTAGTAACTTGAGGAGGTGGAGCGTTAGCTGATCAAAGCCAGACTTGCCTACAGAGCTAGTTGAAGACCAGCCTGGTCTACATGAAGAATCCCAGGCCAACCAGGCCTACCTATTGAGGCTCTGTTTTGTTTGTTTGTTTCTGTTTTAAGAAATAAATTACCCTCAAATACAGTTTCTTAAAACAAATCTTTAAGAGGATGGTAAGGCAGCTCAATGGTTAAGAGCACTGGCTGCTCTTCCCGAGGGCTTGCGTTCGTGTCTTGGCACTCCTGTGGAAACTCACACTTGTCTGTAACTCCAGTCCTAGAGGATCCAATGACCTCTTCTGGCCTCTGTGGGCATCAGGCACGCACACACGCACATGGTACATAGACATACATGCAGGCAAAACATCCATAAATAGTAACCAATATGATTTTTGTTTTGAACATGAAATGCTTTTTTATAGCATGTTTTACAAGGGGAGGGGGTAAGAGGGTCCAGGTGGTGGAAAAGTACAAAATCTTCTTGGCCTGTGCCTTGAAACATGTCATGGTCTATACGGTACACTGCCTTGAATTATGATCTACCTGCAGTTCTTCAGAAGATATGGTACACTGCTTGAGTTATGGTCTCCCTGCTATTCTTAAGAAGACATGGTACTCTGCTTTGAGTCTGTCTGCAGTTGCTAAGCAGGATCTTGCAGTTGCCAAGCTTCAGAGGACATTGTGCAGGTGGGGAAAGGTAGGGGGTAAGGGTAAGGGCGAGGGTCCTGGCTTCTGGCATCTCCCCCTTCTCTGTTTAGTTAGAGAAGGCGTCTTATGTTCAATCCCAACTATGTGAGTTTTGAATTTGGATGTCTAATTATGGGGGGTCTTAGACAAGTTCACAACCCCAAAACACTGATGTGAGACAAGTCACATCGATGGTCGAAGGCTTTAGGCTGTCGACGATGGGCAACGTCAAGGGACTCTGATGTGGGTGAAAGGAGGGTGAGAGCCCTGTCTTAGGCCATGTAGGCTGCACCCACTCCCAGCACCACGCACTCCTTTTCGGCTGCATTGGGTGGGCCCCTGGGAAGTGGACCTACAATAATCCCGTCATTGGGCTAACTCACAGCCATCCTAGTCTCTTGTAAATGTTCAAGTTACCAACCATTTGTCAGTTTGGGGTGTAATATTGTCATAAAGGAAGGCTCCCCAATGTTAGCGGCCATATCAAGGGTGGCCTTGGTTTAGGAAAAAGCCAATTTTTGTTGTGGTGATCAAGAGGCCAAGCTCTCTAGCGAGAGAAATGAGGGCAAAGCCAGGCATACCAGGAACCCTTCTGGAGGGCGTGGAAGTCTAGGGGTCGACCGTAGGGGGAGGCAGGGGAGCTGACAGCTGTGTCAGTCTCCTGCGGAGTCACTTCTGGATCCTCTGCAATTTTCAGCTGATGGTAATGAACTTCAACTGCCTTCTTGATGGCAGCATCAACCTGGTTCCGTGGACGACAGGTCACGGGCGATGATCTCTGTCTTGCTCAATCTTGATGTCGTGCGCACATCCTCTCAATGAGACCAATATTATTTTTAAAAACTTAAAACTGTAAAATGTAAGGACGTGAGCACGTTTTCCTCTGGTCTGATGTGCTGTTGGCAGTAGAGAGTCTTCTCTAGGATCCCTTCTACAGGGACAGGGCGGCTGGGATTTTGGAGAGCCATGTTTGAGCTAGACCATCTGACCCAGACTCTTGAGTCTTCGGTTGTAAATCTGGCCTGTTCCACTTCCGATTCTTAGACTGTCACCTAGCTACCTTGCCCCCTCACCCTGTTCCACTGACCTCCTATCCAAACTCTTCTGTATGTCTCCCTTGCTCAGACCCCATTCCCCACCAGACCCTCGAGTTCCCATCTGCCATGGCAACTCTATGCCTCTCCTCAGCCTCCTTAATTCCCAGCTCCTGTCAAAAGTTGGCAAAATGTGTTTTGAAATGCCAAGACAAATGGGCTGGAATGTGGAGAATCTCTGGCTATGCTTAGTCTTGAAAGTCTGTACAGCAGCTGAGGTCAAACGTAGAGACTGAGAAGGTTCCAGTAGAGCACATGGCTGCCTCAGACCCCATCGGTCACCCTGGGCAAGCTAATGTGGATCCTGGTGTCTCCTTTCTTTTTGCTGTTAAGTGACTCTTACAGGGTGCTCCTAAATTTTAAACCTAGAGGTATCCTTGTAGTCTCCTCGTGCCCTGTTTTGGTCTCATCAGAGGCTGTGACAAGACTCGCTGACTTTACATGAAGTGGCATCTGAGTGGCTTTTAGACCACATTCCACAGCAATCTGCCTCGCCCTGAAGTTGATAGGCTGAGTCCTGCTGTCTTTCAACCTGTGTGTGACACTCACTATTAGATAGCTTGAGATTGGAACCAGTTGAGGAGTCTGATTAAGCCATGGGCTGGGAAGGCAGTCCCAAGTGTGAAATTTAACAGGCTTTCCCAAAACAGCTTGCCCTGGTGGGGGAGAGCCAGAGGTGGTTTGAGAAGCTGGCTAACAAAGCAGATGCATTTCCCTGCTATCGGAGACTAGGTCCATGGTGATAATGTTTGGTGAGTGACTAACAGGGAAACAAGATAACTGAACAGATGGGCAGCTATTAAAAGATTGGAGGGTCTTTCATCATTTCTCAAATGGCCCTCACCCACCTAAGAGATACCGCTTCCCCTGCAAGAAGATTATGTAAAGGATTCAATTAAATCCCTCCTTCCCTTCTCACCCCCACCCCCTTCAACTGCAATGGAATCAGAAGCTCTGACGTGAAGAGGAAAAGAATAGCTGAGTAACTTCTAATTTTGCAGCCCCTCGGGATTAGATGCTGGATTCAGCTGTGCAGAGAGTACTGCTCCATATTTTGAGAGAGCTGCCATCGGCAGCTTCCAGAGCGATGGGTTTCCAAAATAAGACCACGAGTTCTGTGTCCATCTCTGATCACTGATACTTGGATGCTGAAGTACAAAGTCAGGCTCGTGGTTAGATGTGGTTAACCTTGCGTTTGGAAACCGTGGTGACCTGTTATAATTGTACTTAAGCTGAAAAATGCAGAGGCACACGTTCTCCTGGCTTCCAGGGTGGGTGGGTGGGGAATCTGAAGTATCCACACATCCCAGGATGACATAGCTCACCCATGTTCTAGGGCAGCTGTGTATGAGATTCAGAAGCATGCTGCCCCTCCTTTGCTCAGAATGATGCTTGCAAAGTTCCTAAGAGTGGAAGAAACCACAGGCCCTGACTAAAGCAGGCATGTTTTATTCTCTGTGGGGTCGCTGACTAATTTCCACCAAAGGCAGTCATTAGTAAGTATCTAGAGATACAGCTCACAGATAGCACTGAGTTAACTGGGTTCGGTTCACAGAGGACTCTCTCTCTGTGTAAGGTCCAGGATTAGCCATGTGACTTGGTTAAATATGTGTTTGGAAACAGAAAATGATGGGAGTGTGATCCCTCCTTCATCCCCGATCAGCTTCCATCTCTCTTCCATCTCTCTTCCTGCCTGAGTAACAGATAACTAAAGACCCAGCCTCCAAAATCCAGCCCAGCCAACACTAACATGCGCACCTCAAAGTAATCAGCAGCCTCCACAAGGAAAATAACCACCTTTAATATTTTAAATTAAAACCTCCGCAATTCAGGATCATTATAGCCTAAGATAATTTCACAACAGAAACATGGAAACAAGCTGATAATAATTAATACCCAGAGGTGATGGTATCTCCCTGCCTGAGGAACAATACACGATTCTAGAAACAATTTCATACAATTAGGTGAACAAGGATTATTCGTGGGTTTAGAGTTGCCCTGGGTAATCATGCTTTAACACGGTGACTGGAACTAGTTAAAATATGTTCCCACCACTTAGCCTCATAAGCATTTGTGATATTAATTTGGGGTTATGCGTCTGTGGCTTTTAGGTAAGTGCTATACAAAATTGGCATCAGGCAGCAACACTGGAATAACAGAGATTATTCCCAAAAGCTGGGAATAATGGGAAGCTATGTAATGTTTGCATCTATGGTTTTATACTGTGTTTTTTAAAAAGTCATTCCAGGCATGGTATGATGAAGGCCTTTAATCCTAGCACTGAGGAGGCAGAGGCAGGTGGATCTCTGTGAGTTTGAGGTCTGCCTGCTCTACATAATGACTTCCAGAACAGCCAGGGCTACATAGAGAGATCTTCACGCAGCAAACAAACAAACGAAAGAAAACAAAAACCAAACACTGAACTGAGAATCTTCCGTTTCAGGCATCCTCATGGCAGGAGGTGATAGAATCTGTTCTTCAGTGATATTTACCTTCTCTCCTACTGTTCAGTGGGAGGATGTCAGTTTGCTCCCCCTCGGGGATGCTCACGTAATCTCTGTGTCTGTGTCTTTCTAGAATGGCAGACATGCTGGGATTGATGGAGAGACTGGAACATGCAGTCAGCCGGCTGGAGCAGCTGTCCGCGGGGTTGCATGGATCTCCTGAAGGCTGTGGGGAAGTTAATGGTGTCAATGGAGGTAAGGCCACCTCCTGATGTCATTACTGTACTGGTCTTTGTGTGGTTCACTTAGCCCCTCTTTCAACACATTTTTTCCCCAAAATCTGACTTCCACTTCCTTCAAACTCCTTCTCCTTCCTTTGGGTGTGATCGCAACCTTAACCACAGGCAAGCAGTCCTTGGGAAAGAAAATGAAGGGATACGTTTGCTTTCTCCCACAAACACATGCAGGTTTTATGAACCAGCTTCAGAAGAAGACTTTAGAAGCTGCGAGCTGTAGTCCACAAAAAAACGATCAACATCTGAACAATATAGCCCACAATCAAAGAGGTGTTGCTTTGTTTTAATGTGTAACTGTATCATTGAAGGAATTATCAAAGATAGGATGGATGTGCTCTGTTGGAAGGCACGGAAAGGGATTAGGTACTGCAGGTATTCACTATAAAGACGAGTCACTGCATTTGGCCACCGCAACTTCGACTGAAGCTTGTCCCAGGTTCAGCCAATGATGGAGCAAGGCCGTGACCAGAGCATGTAATCTGACCTCTGAGCATCCCTAATAGATCTCCTCTCGGGGTGGGTACAGGTGCTGAGGATTGAACCCAGAGTGCTTTTTTTAAAAAGAGCTTTTGGGTTGGAGAGTTGACTTGGTGGGTAAAGGTACTTGCCACACAAACCTGGCAACCTGAGTTTGATCCCCAGAACCCACATAAAGGTGGAAAGAGAACTGACTCCACAGAGTGACCCCTCAGATGGCCATATGTATACTGTTGCATAGGTATCCTACAAACACATTACGCATGCATGCATGCATACATTTTTAAAAAGATTTTTTTTCAAAAATTGTAGCATCAAAAATAAAAAGTTAAGAATTTTCTTTAAGCCAGGAGTGCTGGTGCACACCTTAATCCCAACACTCAGAAGGTAGACACAGTGATCAAGAGTTCAAGACCAGCTTCAACTATAGATCTGCCTTAGTTTGGGTTGTTTGGTTGTTTGGTTGTTTGTTTGGTTGGTTGGTTGGTGTTTTGTTTTGTTTTGTTTTGTTTTGTTTTGTTTTCTGTAAAGAGACACCAGTGACCAAGACAACTCTCATAAAGGAAAGCATTTAATTGGGACTGGCTTACAGTTTCAGAGGTTCTGTCCATTATCATCATGGCATGAAGCCAGGCACATCAAAGTGTCCAGGCAGACACGGCGCTGGAGGAGTTCTACTTCTTGATCAAAAGGCAGCCAAGAAGAGACCATACTGGGTGGAACCTGAGCATAGGAGTCCTCAAAGCCCGCCTATACAATGACACACTTCCTCCAACAAAGCCACACCTCCTCCAATAAGACCACATTTCCTAATAGTGTCACCTCCTATGGCCAAGCATTCAAACACACAAATCTATGAGGGACATACCTATTCAAAGGACCACAGTATCTAATTTGAGGTCAGCCTGGTTTACATGAGACGCTGCCGGAATTTAAAAAAAATAAAAAATAAAATAGCAAAAAACAAAAACCAACAATAACAAAAAAACCTTGAAAAGAAAAGAAAAGACAAATAAAAGCCAAAAGTAAATAGCAGGTAATACATATGGCAAACTTTTTAAGCTATTTTAAGCTATCTACAATAGAATTTCCAAAATGGAAATTCCAAATTTCCCAACTATTGCATGAGCTATATACTGCATGGTACATAATTGCCTTAAAAAAATCTATTCATTGCTCATCTAAAATTAAAATTTAACATGATGATCTGTATTGAATATGCAGTTCTATTCCTGACCTGTGTGTGCACACACAGCTCCTCTGACCTGTTTTAAAATATAAAGCCAGTCTTTGGGGAGCTGGGGAAAGCCTCAGGCAAGAGGACACCTCAACACCTCTTTGCCCAGGAAAGACATGCATTACTGCTTCTAGAACATTGGGTGTTTGGGGACCTGTGTGTCCTATTACACACCACAGAACAGAAAATACTGTGTGAACTCAAAATGTACTGGCTCTGCCTTCCCTCTGAACATGCTAAAAACCAAAGTGGCCTGAATGGACTAGAAGGAGGGATGGTTTAAAGAGCCTGAATGGACTAGAAGGAGGGATGGCTTAAAGGGAGCCTGGGATGAGCCAGAGTCTCTTCTATAGACAGTCTAAGATGTACTAGTGGTTCCTTCATAAGCCCTTCCTTTCATTGGTGTCTGGACCTTATAAACCCCATTTCTATAGCAAAATCTTTCCACTGTCTCCAGCAACTTTGTCTCATTATGTGCTGGACAGTAAGTGACTGCAGAAATTTCCTTAAGGTCCCTCCCTGCCCACCAATAAGAAGCCTATCAATGTGTAAAATAAAGTTCAATTCCAGGAGATGATGGGTATCTAAATGAAGAGGAACAGCCAATAATTTAAACCTCACACATTTAAAAAGGTAGCACACAAAACCAAGTGTTTCCTAGAGAGAGAGAGAGAGAGAGAGAGAGAGAGAGAGAGAGAGAGAGAGTTAGAAAGGAGGTTCAATGGGTAAAGAACTTGCCATGCAAGCAAAGAGGCAGGGTTTAGTTCCCCAGAACCCATTTAGAAGCCAGGCCTGTAACCCCAGCACTGTACACAGAGGCAGGAAATCTCTGAGCTTTGGGTTCAGTGAGAGATCCTGCCTCAGTGCTTAAGGTGGGCAGTGACCAAGGAAGACACCTCACATCAGCCCCATACCTCTAAATGCTAAAGCACATGCATGTGCATCTGAGCAAACCTGTACACATATATGCACACACGCAACATGTACATATATACACAAAAAGAGAAAGAAATGTCCTGAGGGGGGGGAGACTGAATAAAATTGGAGGACACAAAATTAAATTATTTGATATTTAAACAAATGTTTTCTTAATTGTTTCCAATCACTCACTAAAGCAAAGGTCCCCTGGGAAAATTAGCCAGCAAGTTCTTTTACTTGAAGTGGAGTTATTAGCAAGTGGGATAATTAGGGAGACACCTGAGTGGTTCCCATTCTTAAAATGTTTTATTTAATCTGAAGAAATGTCACCTATAATCCCAGCACCTGGGAGACTGTGACAGGGTGTATATGTGAAATACTTAGTAGTTAATCAATTGAGTTTTCTCCCTAAATATAGACATTATTGCTGTATATAGTAATAGTACTATATACCATATATACTATATAGTACTCTATACTATATTACTGTTTTGTGTTCAATACTAAATAAAGCTATGTCTTCTATAATTTAAAGAAAAATTTTAGAAAGAACTCAGGCCATTACAAATACGTATCATCCAGAGATCAAGAACCTCTCTATAAGTTTTGAGTTTGTTTTTTGTTTGTTTGTTTGTTTGTTTGTTTGTTTTGCTCTGTTTTTCTGTCTTATTTTTCTGACAATCGGGTAAGTTCAGCTCCACATCGGAAGAAGTACTGCATCCCTGCCCCATGATGATCATGGTCCTGGGTGCAGGAGACCTCAGATGAATTATACACAGTCCAACTCCTCCGGCATCTTTGCTCTGCCTACATTACCATTCAGAGCCAAGGATGCTTTGATTAAAAGACACTCAAAGGATACAGTCGAGGGGAAGAACAGATCATTAAAGGCTGCCCGGAGGAGGTGTGAACAGAGTCTGGGATGAAAGGGAACTGGAAACATATTCTGTTTCATCATTTTTGCCTTTCGATAGGCAGCGGCCCCCATCATGTTTCTGAAATCTTTTTTTTTTCCACTTTAAATGCTCAACAGAAACATCTCACACCTCCCTCAATCGACAATCAAGTCTGTCAGTTTCCAGATAGACATACATCAATCACTGCCCCCAACACATTCCAACCCCTCCTTGGGGCTGTGGAAACGGGTAATTGGAATAAAAAGAAAAGGAAGCTTTCTCTCTTAGTTTTGTGAGCAGGGATGAGGCATTTGAAGAAAGAAAGGGTTTGAGTTTTTAAAAACTACAAATTTCTTAATGTTAGGGGAGGAAAGCCAAGGTTTTAGGTTTGGGATATTTTGTTTGTTTTTTTTTTTTTTAGTTAGTTAGTTAAAATGCCGATTAGGGAACAGGGCACGCAAGTTGGACCGCTGTCCGCACAGCTTGCGCTGCACACTGGCTGCTGGTCGAGCTCTGTACAGATCGGTCCATAATGATGCTCATTCTCTCCACCCTCTCCATGGGAAATAAAGGAGGAAGAAAAGTGGGGTTGCCCCTCTTGCTCAGAGTTCACTGTCCTCTGAATTCCTGGAGACTCTGGGCAACTCTGTAGGTTGGTGTTGTACCTGGAAGAGCTAGGGAGGAAGAGGCAGTGACACTGAGGAGCCTGGGTCAGTTCAGTCGGAGATCTGTCTGTAGTTCAGGCCTGTCTGCTCTGTCTGCACTTCTGTTACCTCATCTGTAGTACCGTGGTGAGGTGCCTGCTTCCCTGCTGGGCTTGCAGATGCCTTAGTTACTTTTCTCATCAATGTAACAAAATGCCTGATAAAAACCAGCTTAAGAGAGGGGAAGAACTTTGGGGGTGGCGGGGAGCTCATAGTTTGAGGCATATGGGCCATTAAGCCAAGAAGTCTTACTGATGGGTGCAGGAGGCAATGGGTCACCAACAGCCACAGTCAGGAAGCAGAGATAAATGCTGGCACTCAACTTGCTATCTCCCCATTCAGCCCAGGACTCCTGCTTGTAGGCTGCTGCCCCCCACATTCCTTTAAGGTTAAACCTCTCTGGAACTCTCTTACTAAAACCCTGACTTTCCTCCCCTAAAACAGAGACGTTTATCCTTGCAGTTTATTAAAACTCAAACCAAAGCCCCATGTGAACTATATACATAGAGGTGTGTCCATTCGGTCGTTCTAAATCCAGCTGAGTTGATAAGCAAGAGAACCGTCAGGGTAGAGAACGGAATAAATGGTGCTGATGGAAGTCTTCACCAACAAGGAAGGAGATTGGGCAAAGGGGATTTTTCCGGAGCCGTAGTGAATATGGGGTGCACGGAGGAATGAATGACTGAATAGGGGATGACATTCAGCCTCCACGTGACCTGTGGCAAGCCAGCCCCAGCTTCCATAAAACCACTGGGGAGTAACCAAGCCATTCTCTTTCCACAGGCGTGGCTCCGTCCGTGGAAGCCTTTGACAAACTGATGAACAGTATGGTAGCAGAGTTCTTAAAGAACAGCCGAGTCCTTGCTGGTGACGTAGAGACTCACGTGAGTACTTCTTGCCCCTCAAGCAACCTCAATGGCATCACGATGTCCACTCTGCTTATTTTTCCCTTCATTTATACATTTATTTATCTGCCCTTCAAGCGTCTACTGATTCAAGCTTCAAAAGGTACCAGGAATTCAGAGACGTGTGAGACAAGAGAGTCCTGACTCGCCCCTGCCTCCAGGCCGTTATCTTTATCTTTGGGAAATAAAAGACATACATAACTATATAACCAACTGAGGTGTTATAGATATTGCCAAAAAATAAGGAAATAGACAATGATGTGGAAAGTTCTAGAAGCAGGGCTGTTGGTATCGAAGCCTTATCTCAAGAGGTGACTTTTGAGCAGAGATCTTCATAATGGGCCAGCCTGGTGCTGTTTGTAGTCTAATGCTGGTTCCTCAAGACCTGGTTACCCGAGAGATGAGAGAGTCCGCCCCTAGACGCTTTGTGAACCTTGCCCCAAGTTATTTCTGATTGGTGAATAAAGATGCCAACAGCCAATCGCTGGGCAGAAGAGACATAGGCGGGGCTTAGGGTGCCGGGTTTGAGGGTTGAGGAGACCCATGAGGGAGAGAAGAAAGGAATGGAGGAAAAGCCTCCGTAGGTTAGTTGAGTCTTGAAAAAACGTGACCCTGAGGGCTGGTCAATTGGAGCTAAGAGCAGCCCAGATGAAACATTGTAAATGATAACTCTGGGTTATCGATAGGAAAGTAAATTCTAATAGTATAGCTCTTGTGCTGTTTAAGGTTTACAGTAAATAATGAAAGTTGTGTGTCCGAGAACTCAATGATCAAAGCAGGGTAGAAACTCAGGGTTGAGATTTAAATCTACCACAATGTATTTTAGGAGAGAGAGGAAGCAAGAGAGGTAGTTATGGAGCAGAGCGGTCCAGACAGAGCACAGGGTTAGAGCAAAGGCCCAGAGGATGCTGGGATAAGCTGTTCTCAGCAGAGCAAAAGGCTGCTGCGGAGGTGGAAGTAGCCTGGAACTAGAACTGGATAGGACCTGCTAGTCACTGCAGAGGACTTGATTGTATACTCGCTGTGTTAGGAAGCTACTAGGGCACCAAACAGAGGGATTAGGATCAATTCACTTCACTAGTTAAAAAAAAAAAAAAAGATCCCCCAACAGAGTTGACTTTGGCACCAGGCACCAGACGCCATCCTTCCTCAGGGTCAGACTGAGGCTATTAGCAAACACCTGTTGGGATGCAAATATCATCAGAAAACCCCAGAACATAGAAAGTGTTGGCTTGGGTGCAGTGTTCTGTTGGCAGGCATGTGAATGGGGCATCCGTTAGAGAAAATGGCTTGGCAGGTACAGGAACACTGACAACAGCGTAAACATAAGATCTCCCAACCGAGCATGCACCCAAAAGCAATGAGGATAGACTTTCAAAGTGGAATAAGTACCCCCAAGTTCAGAACAGCATGAGTCTCGGCAGCCAAGACGAGAAGCAACTGGAAGCATCTGTGGACAGACGAATGCATCAAGGAAATGTGTTGTCTGACACTGTGCTAAGGAAAATAAATCCGACACAGAAAGGGGTGCATTGTGTGAGTACTCCTAGGTGATGCATCCAAAGAGACAAAATCCATAGAAACAGAGACTAGAGGTCACTAGAGGCAGGAATGGGGGGCAATGAGGAGTCTTCTAGTAGCTGTGAACCTACAGTTCTATGACAACGAAACCCAGAAATCTCAGCGCCGAATCATATACTTTAAGATGGTTAAGATGGTACTGGCTTTTGCTGGTATACTATTGTGTGTGTGTGGATGGTTGTGAGTCTGTGGCTACATGTGAAGCTGTATGTGTGCATGCATGCATGTAAGAGTCAACCCCAGATGTCTTTCTTCAGGTGAAATCCACCGTGTGTGTGAAACAGGATCACTCACCGGAGCCTGATACTTACTGACTGAGTGGACTCCAGAGATCATCCTGTCTTTACCTCACTAGCAGTGGGATTACAACTGTGAACCATGGCTGGCTTTTTACATGGGTGCCAGGGATCAGACACGCCCTTGGTGGGGCCAAATTCTTTCCTGGTTGAGCTATCTCCACAGCCCTTTTTCTTTTGTTTTCTTTTTCCTGTGTTTTTAAGTCATCATGAAAAGCACATGTCTCATAGTGACATTTCTATACCTCTGCATCACTATACTGTGTTCTAATTTGTCCCCCTTCCCTGCTGTCCTCTTCCATAACCCCTGTCCTCTCTGGTTGTCTCCCTTCCTCTGACTGTCCCTACTTTCTTCTTTCGGGTCACAAATATTCCATTGCCCTCTCTTCGAAATCTTAATATCTCTTCCATCCTTCATGATCCTCTTTCTAGATTCATGACCTACACCCAGACAGATACACACACACACACACACACACACACACAGAGAGAGAGAGAGAGACAGAGAGGGAGAGGGAGAGGGAGAGGGAGAGGGAGAGGGAGAGGGAGAGGGAGAGAGAGAGAGAGAGAGAGAGAGAGAGAGAGAGAGAGAGAGAGAGATGCAAAGTTTTTATGTCTTATCTTCTCATAACTTCTTTTCAGTTACAACCTGGGAGAAAGGAAAAAGTGTGTAGACTCTGGGAATGTCTGGATTGGGATAGATCTTTAAGGATGTGTACCCTGGTCTGCTAACTACAGACAGATTTATACCCCGGGCAGTTAGTCATTATTTACATCCTGGAAAAAACAGTTTCAACATAGGTTTACAGAAAATCAGATGCTTGAATTAAGTTGTTTGCGGTTAGGAAAAATAACTGGAGAAGACCCCATCTCTTCTCTGTTTCTGTTGATATCATATTCAACACCCAGCAGTGGTCTTGCAGAGTCTAGTGACTCTCCATCCCAGCAGCTCCAAGACTATAATTAAATAAGTGGTCAACCAATCACATCACAGGGTACTTGTCTGCTGCTCTGTCTAGCAGGGCATTAAACAGGGGTCTGGGGTGATCACCTGAAAGAGAGTTGGGGGGAAAACAGGAAGACACAAAGAACAGCTGCTTATCTATAGGCTGATCAAACCACAAATCTTACTTTTTCACACAGGGGTTATATACACATATAGCCAGGATGTAGGGAAGGGGAAGATACAGGAGTGTGGTGTTCAGGGGGAGTACAGATATCTTCCAGAACAGAGTGTCAGCTGGGTAAAGGTTCAGGGGGCAGGTCACTATGACTCTGCCTACGATTCACTTGTCCGTATCTAAGTTGGTACTATCCACCAAGGCTACCCAAGGTCTATGACTATCCACAAGACCCATGACTACTTGTTCCCATCCAGGCTAGTAAATTTCCAGCAAAGCTGCCTATTTACAATATCTTATACCTATCAGTTCAGTATTTTTCCACAGAGACCCAAGATTTTGTGTTATCAGGTTCACTTAGGCCTATGGCTGATTTTAGGGTTTCAGTATATAAGCAAGGCTGCCCTTGACAGTCTGCCAAAGATGTCCTCCACTGTCATTAAATACTTCTCCTGAAATACTCACTGACCCTTTTAGTTCTGGTTGTCTTTGTCTCTCTGAACGTTCACATACAGCAAACTAGTGTTGAATTTCTCATATTTGCCATACACAATCTACCTGAAAGCTAAGTACATAAAGGAGTGGTACCCCAATATGAAGACGAAATTCTTGCATGATGCTGTCACAGTGATTCAAGATCTGTGACCTTCAGTTGATGTTGACAGTATGTTTCTAGGGTAGGATAGTACATCAGAACTCTGGCTACTAATCTCACGAAACCCTAGATAGACGCTCTAACCAGAGAACAACATTTTTTCAAAAAATGTACGCCCTTGTGCAGAGTGAGCCTTCTATTTGCATAATAAAGAGTTCTTTTACATTCCTTTTAGAATAGAGAGAGGTGTAGGTGTATTTGGATTTAAATGAAATGCTTTTCCCTCCTCATCAGCTTATAAACAGTGCGGCTCTAATGAAAATATGTTCTCAACAATGGAAACGG